ACTAAATGTGGTAAATAAACCAACACTTAAATCAGCCTCTGGACCAGATGACTGCAGGGTAGCTAATGTAACATGATCCAGTTAGTATAAGGTACTTGGACTTTCAGAAAGCTTTCAACAAAGTCCCACACTTACAGCTCTTCAACAAAACAAGTAGTCATGGGATAAGAGGGAAGGTCCTCTCGTGGATTAGTAACTTGCTAAAAAATAGGGAACAAAGGATAGGAATAAATATTCAGTTTTCATAATGGAGAGAGATAAATACCTGGGCTCCCCAAGAATCTGCATTGAGATCTGTGCTGTTCAACAAATTCATAAATGGAGAGAACAATGAGGTGGCAAAATTTGCAGACAATACAAAATTACTCAGGATTATTAAGTCCAAAGCTGACAGAGAAGAGTCAAAAAGAGAGCTCACAAAACTGGGTGAATGGGCAATCAAATGGCAGATGGAATTCAATATTGATAAATGCATAGTAATTCACATTGGAAAACATAATCCTAACTATACATACAACATGATGGTGTCTAATTTAGCTATTACTACTCAAGAAAGATGTTGGAGTTATTGTGGTTTGTTCTCTGAAAACATCTGCTCGATGTTCAGTAGCAGTGAAAAAAGCGAACAAGATGTTAGGAACCATTAGGAAAGGGTTGGATAATAAAGCTGAAAATATAATGCCAGCATATAAATCCGTGGTACGCTCATAGCTTGAATACTATGTGCAGTTGTGGTTGTCTCATCTAAAAAAAAAGATATATTTGAATTCGAAAAGATATAGAGAAGAACAAAAATGCTTAGGGGCATGGAACACCTTCCATATGAGGAGATATAAAGAGACTAGAGCTTAGAAAAGAGATGACTAAGGGGGAATATGATAAATGTCTATAAAATCATGCATGTTCTGGAAAGAGTGAATAGGAAAGTGGTGTTTACCCCTGCACAGAACAGAAGGACCAGGCATCGCCCAATGAAATCAATAGGCAGTAGGTTTAAAACAAACAAAAGGAAGAATTTCTTCAACCAATGCACAATCAACTTGTTGAACTCATTGCCAGGGGATTTTGTGAGGGCTGAAAGTATAACTGGGTTTAAAAAAGAATTAGACAAGTCCATGAAGGATAGGTCAATCGATGGCTAAGAGCCAAGATGGTCAGGATGCAACCCCATGCTTTGGGTGTCCCTAAACCTGTTTGTCAGAAGCTGGGGATGGGCGACAGGGGATGGACCATTTGATAATTGCCCTGTTCTGTTCATTCCCTCTGAAGCTTCAGGCACCAGCCACTGTCACAGACAGGATACTGGGCTAGATGGACCATTGGTCTGAGCCAGTGCAGCTGTTCTTATGTTCTTATTATTTAAGGCGCCAAATCCCACTGCATTTCCATCTCTGGGTGATGACAGACTAGTAGCATCCCTCCATTACTGCTGTGTTGTATCCTTTCCCTCTGTGACTTTATGTCTGTACAGGCAGGAGACTTGGGTTCTGTTCTTGTTTCTGCCCCTGGCCTGC